TTTATTCAGAAAAAGCATATGGTGACACAATGGTAGATTGACCATATTTAGCATGGAAAGCTGGCAGTATCTTGACATACGGCGAACTGCTTGAGCTCAAGTCAAAGAAGGCGCCGTACAGGTTAGTGATAGCAGCCAACTTGGGTCCAGGAAAGGCAGCGAGAGGGTGAAGTGTGAGGCGGTACACGATCTTGGCCAATAGAGAGGCAACGAGTGCAGCAGCGACGAACAAAAGCGCCGAAGCAGAGAAGGCATTAAGCAGTGCCATGTTTGCCGGTCAAACTTTACCTGTGAAGGCAGAAACAATTGACGTAGCTTGAAGTGAGCAATACTAACCAGTAGGTATACGAAGATGTTTTTGGGGGATGCAACGGATGACTTGGTAGTCGTGAAGCAGAAGAGGCGCGGGTCCAGCCGAGCAGTGTGGATGCTCGTCCTCATGCAGGTCCCCGATTGACCTTCTACTTGCGGACTGCATATCTGCCCTTCTCGGAGCTCCTCCCGTGTCTCCGAGCTGGGATTTGAGCTTGACGGTCTTTCTCATGATAGTTCCCCCCAAGGCGTCGGCCAGGTGGGCCTGAGATCCCTCATGCCCTCTCCCAAGGAGATCAAAGCAAGACTCTAGTTCCTTCCATCTTGACTCGGGTACACGGATTGATGATATGTTGACTGCAGTATGAACGATGGGCGTCTGTTCGTCCAATCGGATGTACTTAATGAGAGACCATTTTTAGTGCTTTGGCAAAATGCAGCTGGTCGCATCGGATCAACAGTACGAATACGACAGCCTCTCTCCATCCGTTCGCAATGGGAGTCATCCATATTATCTGCGGCTGCCAAAAGTACTTCATCTTGCAATTTACCTAAACGTCTTAGGCACTGTATGTTAGGATCAATTTCTCGCCATGCCCCAGAAGCGCAACACATGAACGACTTGATTGAAAAGCTGGATCCACCAATTTTTCCGAGTCTGTCTGTGAAGAGGGTGATACGGGTGTGGAACATGTCTGGGATGGCTTCGGTCAACAGTGCACAACAAGGAAAACGCTGTCTAGGAACGTGCTTAGGCTCTACTCTTCAGCAACTCCTATTCAAGGTACCCTGACTACTTCAGCTTTCCCGTCCCCAGTCACGCTTAATCAAGGTAGAGGTCTCAGGCTTTTGAGTCGGTTGTTCGCCCATTTTCGACCATTTCTCGGATGATCAGGCCAATGGATTACACATGTAATCAAAGATCTCCTGCGACAGTTTTCGATCTCAGCAATCCATAATCTGCTGGTACCCTTGTCCTCAGCGCAATTTTCCAGCAGCCAAAATGAAGCATTGTCAAACAGATCCTTAGAATTGAAGAAAGCGTGCAATTGAAACAACAGACGATCCTGCTGCATCTGCCTACTTGAATGCGAGACAATTTCCTTTCAAAGTGACATCGTTGAGGTCGAGATACGCCTTCCCTTCATCGCCAAATGGCTTCAAACCAAGCAATACCTGCCTGATCTGCCACAAGTTCTTAGGAACACCGAGTTCAGTGACGGAGAAGGAAACGATCTACCGACTTTAGCTCCCGACGCTTGCATTAACAGGGGCTCGTCTTTACAAATGTCGTCTGTGCTAGGTTCGCAATGTTAGTGAGAATATGGCGCTCAGCACAATGCATCTCGACGAGATGTGGCGCTTCGCACAGGACACAGCAAGCGGCTTGTATCGATATGACAATCCACCTCATGGGGGACTCTAGGACTTTCCATGAGATTACGAGGGTGGCAAACATCCGCGCACTTTCGGCTTTCAGGACCTATGAGTAACTATCCGACCACCGCCGAGAGCTCATCGAAGATTGTCGGTCCGGTGATCTGGGCAGTGTAGACCTCTCGAGTGTTCTTGCTCTGTTGCCTGTTTTGTTCGCGACGGAACCGGAGACGGTGTCCATGAAGGGACAGGAAAGGTCAGGACTAATCTCAAGGGCAGATCTGATGCCGTCTTCGAACACGGTTGGAACGGAAGACGGCTTGTAAGAAGCACAGAGAAGCTGGGCCCCGGGGGTGGATGAAGAGGGCAGATCTGGAAGGCCTGATTGAAGTCTTGATTCTCCGTATTGAAGTGGGCGTTGAGGAACATGCCGGACCATGACTGCTGATGCTGCACTCTTGCCGCACGGCTTTTGTGCAGCCTCACACGTGCACATCATCGTATCGCATGGAGGGTTTTAGCACCATACTCGGTATGGGTACGCTGCTCTGGGTTACGCCATCGAAGAAGTACGCGACTAATAGCTCTTCACAAGAAAGTAAGAGACGGTGGCGGAACTCACGCATAGAGGGAGTCCTCAAGATCTCTGAAATCTCAACGGGAGAATTTTCAGGAAACGATGGCATTTTTAAAAGCCCCTTGTTTCCCATTTGTACGTATCCTTTTGGGCATCAGTTGCAAACAACCCGACTTTCCCTATCACGGAATCTGAACAACGAGCATTGAACGCAGGAAAAACGATTCCTTATCGCATATCCTTACAGCAATGAAGGGAAAGTTTATTACAATTGTCACTTCTTCCTGGCATCAGGAAGACCTCAGAAAATACAGTCATAAATTGCGCCTTAGTACCCGCATCATCTCCTCTCTATGCATGGCTTTTTGTCTACCAGCTCACTTAATACAGGCTCCTCATTTCACCATCTCCCAGTGAATGCCAACGCGTCCAAGCACCCCGCCTCATCGACCGTTTCCCACCCCCCTCGCCGCCTCAAGTACAACCCACCGTCGTCGTAACCGTGGTATGCATCTCGCACCCAAAAGCAGGACAAGCCGAAACCGTCGTCGTCGGCGCGGACGCTGGGCACGAGCAGGGTACCGTGGCGGTGGAGGTGATAGTCATGTCCAATTGCGCCAGTGGGCACGCCTGTCTTTTCCTTTTATCGCTCACTGGGCATATGAACTCGGGGGGCACGATCGAGGTGTATGTGGGGCATGTGGGCCTGCGCGATGCGGTGGCGGTACCGTTTGAGGTTGTGAGGGTGGCGAAGGTCGAGATCGAGGGGGTGTGTTTGTGGTGTCTGGCGAGGGAGAGGGGAAGGGCGCTGGTGGGGGGATTGTCAGTTTGGGGTTTGGGTGTTTGTGGAGGTGATTTGAGGTCGGATCATGGAAGAAATAGACAGGAGACCAGAAAGGTACATATGAGTACCCAAAGAGCATGTGCGGTATTTGAGTTGAGGATGCACGTGCGCTGTACATAGGTCGCCAAAGAAATCTTGTTGGGCTTACCTCAGGACGAGCAATGCGATCTGTAGGACCAACATGATGGTAAAGAGGTAAACGCAGTTACAGCCCCGCTGATATAATTGAGGGTTCGGTTGAAAGATGCACTGGTGGCCGGCAAGAGGAGTGTCTCTCGTCGAAGCAAGGGCAGACATCCAGCCTTTGTATCATCATTGTGACGTTAAATTAGAGTACTTCCCCTGCCGGCGTCGAGTTTCAAAGTGCGAGGGGTGTTGGAGGACGGGTTGCGGCTACGCCGCTGTCTCAGATTTGGAATACTACCTTACTCGTATAATCCAGAAGTGAGTTCTTTGATAGAGTGAGGACACCAATAGATTAACAGAAATTCTGCCAAGTCGAAGGATTTACTGGTGTCCTCGCTCAATAAAAAAACTCACTTCTGGATTGTACGAGTATGTTAACAGTCTGTTGGAGTTCAGCGGCTTCGCAATTTCAACACTCCGTTACTTACAATGATGGTCTTGGCTGCGACTGTATTGAATTGATTGAAATCATTGGCTTTAACTTGGAGCAATACGTACTAAAAATGTGTTTCTCGCCCTGAATTTCGCTAGGGCGCACAAAAGATTGACTGTTGCAAGGGGTCGCTATTTTGTCGCCGTGTATGCTGCAGTGAACATGAGGCAACAAGTAAAAAAGACATTGAAGCAACTCGAGCGATGACTACTCGAAAGCAAGGAAAAAATAGTCGGGATTACTCAACTTGGTCCGCCAAACCGCTTCACAGCTTACCCGTACTTTCCAATTCGGCCAACTCGTTGCCTCCTCAGCCATCAGCCCAGACATCCTGTTCAGTTCTGAATGATCTAATCTCCAGATCTCTCAACTTCTTCGCATCTGCCAGGTCTCGCTCGAGCTGAGCGAGATAGCTGTCGACCGTTCCTTGAGCGCGACCCTGGATCTGTCTATTCGCCTGGGCCGCCTCATAGTCAACCATCTTGCCTCGGATCAACTCTACCATGGCGTCATAGCTGGCATCGATTATAGCTTCCTCCTCGCGGAAGCACGAGACGCAGAGAGATGGAGCGTCGACTTGCTTGAAGCAGACGGGAATGAGCATGCATGTTCTCGCTCCGAAATCTCCACAGAACTCGACAATCTCTAACTTCTTATCATGTCCACACTCGGCGTACACGTAGTAGATAGCGTAACACATGATGTTCTAGTGTTTGAATTGAGAGGCTGTTTGCTTATCTGTTTATCCTGGAAACTTGGGGGCCGATTGAGGATGTTGATATGTTTTGTGGTCGTGGGTCGATGACTAGATAACTGAAAGACAGTCAACGGCTTACGTAGAGTATGTATCAGTCATTGATGATTGTTCTTCGACAATGAAGTATGGAAGCAACCTAAAAGAGAGAGAAAGCACACAAAGAGGCAATCAAAGGGGCATACAAACAGACTAGAAGGCGGATTGTTGATAGATAATGCCATTGTTGTGTCAACTGAAATTTTTACAGGCCGATCCCATGATTCTGCTCGAGTACAATTACCTTCTTTGGTATTGTCGTGAAATTTTGAGAATGTGTCATGGCTTAGAGCTGGCCAGATCATTCATATTCCGTGGGAACTGCTCATCTTTCCTTACACAATCACACATCCATCCCAAACCTTTCGCCGAGCCAGGTATTCCGCCTGGACGTCAATCAATAGAAACTAACCTTGCCCTACCCACCGGGATCAACCTGACATCAAAATTTTCGAATATTCGCTACCTGTATACGATGATGCCGACAGCACTATCGAGGGCTATGGCGCTCAAGAAGGCCGGCACACTCCCTACCATTGGATCGGTGCTGGTTAGTGCCGGTTCCGGTTTTGACGAATGCGAGCTCTGTGGTAATTTTTTCGAAATCAGCGAGTCTTCCAGATCGACTCCGATCAAAGTTCCTTGTGTCGATACTCAATGTGGGACCTGTGCTAGGATGTGGCATATCCTAAGCTCACCAACATGTCTAGCATGCTATGCACACTTTACGTGCCCTAAACTCTCCGGAGACCGGGCCCAGATATCTTCGTCACAGCTTGATCTTGATGCAAACGACATGATTCAGTGGCAGTCACTTGCAGATTCGCAGATAGAGTCCCCTCTCGACTTCCAAGACAGGTATGTTGCATTCTATGGTGCTGATACTAAATTGGACGACGATACCATCTTAGATACAGGAAGTCCTATGAGAGAAGAAGACGATGAAACCACAGCCATGAGCGAGCTTAGCGATGAAGATCTGCGAGAGGCGCTCATCTTGGCCAATAACCGTATCGGCACAAATTTCAACATCCAAGAGATCGAAGATGAAATCCCTCTGGCGGTCTTGCGCAGAGGTACCAAAACCCAGCTCGCAGATATATTGACGCAATTGTGTACCAGGAAGGCGTCCGAGAGCGATGAGGACGATGGAAGAGAGGTAAGCTCTCAGCAGCTTAACGAGGATGACTCCAGTGATACAACGTCCCGGCAGGATGGAGACGCAGCTCTACATATTTCATTCTACTGTCTTGACTGCCATCAAGTCTTCAAAAGCGCAGGCCATCTACGACAACATATGGTCGTTCACACCATCAACCACCACATGTGCTCAATATGCGGCAAAATTCTCGGGAATCGAATTAGTCGCCGAATTCATGAGCAAAAGCATTGGGAAACTGATAGCCAGCGAGATGAGAGACTTCAAAAGGCGAAGGTAGCGAGAGATAAATCGCGGGCCAGTCAAAAAGAAAAGAAGAGGCGATTTGACAGAGTTCCCCAGGTCTTGGAATAGGTCAAGGAGCCGAACGAGCCGGAGTAGCGTTCTTAGGCGTTTTGCACTTTTGTTTCCCTTGTTGATCTTTGTGTGGTCGAGGTCTGTCTTTGATTAGCTATTAATGGGCGGTAGCGGAGTTGACGTGCACTAAAACGAACTTGTTTGCACCTGTTTTGATAGAACGAAGATAGATAGCGACAACCCATCCTCTTGAAAGTCCAACAATTCATGAATGATTCTGTGCCATAGTGCTCGATTGAAGTAGTTAGGAGAGAGTGATGGCAGCAATGTGATCGCGAATTCGGTACCGAGTAGTAGGAATGCTTGGCGGCACCCGCGAAGATAGGTTCGAGGGGTTCTCAACCACAAAATGATACATCAATCACTCACGGCTACCGCGAGTCAATCCTGGTTGATTCATCACACTCTCTCAAATGGTAACCAACCTCTTCTCTCGCCTCTCGCGTTCAACTAACATTCCCCCTCACTGCAGGCACCAAAAACCCTCCCACCCATTGCCAAACAAAATCTCATCCTCACCTACTTGCACAACTCTCGCACGGCCCACTCGATCAAAGAGCTCGAGAAAGCTCTCCCGTCTGTCGCCTCCATCAATGGCATGCAAGTCAAAGACTACCTCCAAGCCCTAAGCGACGAAGGCAAGATCCGAGTAGAGAAAATTGGCAGTGGGAACTGGTACTGGAGCTTCCTATCCGAGGAGAAAAAAAGCCGTGACAATGTGTTGGGGATGCTGAAAGAAGAATTGGCGAAGGTCGAGGCTTCGCTGGGAGAGTTGGAAGAGAAGCTTAGGGAGGCGAATGAGAAGAGGGGGGAGGATGATGAGGGTAGGGGGGAATTAGTCAGTGCAAAGCTGGACTTGGACGGGGAGGTTGGAGTATTGAGGAAAGAATTGGAGGGTTACAAGGATGGTGATCCCAGAGAGGTGGAGACGAGGCGAAAAGAAGTTAAGGCCTTACATGCTAGGGCGGAGTTGTGGACGGATAACATTGGAGTACTGGAGGGTTATATGTTGAATTTGATGGGTGGGGATAAAGAGAAGTTGGTTGGGATGAAGAGCGAGCTTTACGGAGACGAGTACGTCGAAGGAGAGGGACTGAAGGAACTATAGACTTGCTCGAAGATGATCAGACTTGCTCTGTGGCTCTTCTACACCACAGACTGCATGAGTATTTGCGAGATGTGGTTGTACCGTTGGGGGCGCTCTCTCCGATGGCCGCGGCGTCGCAATTCCTTCCCTTTTAGCTCGGCCGCATCCTTGCGGAAACCAACCAATCATCTTTCTCTGCCTCTCAGCATCCCCTTCTCCCAATGACTGTCATTCCTACAATAACAACCCGAAAGATTGAAATGTGGATTAAGAAAGATCGCCTTGCCAACTCAGCCAAGAGGGAATAGAAAAGTTAGGACCGTCAAGAACAGACTCATCGTTTGACCGTCTAGGAAGCCTGAGTGGCTCTGGCACTGCAAAGAGGCTATGTGTACAATGCGCAGCCAAAACAGTCGTGGAAGCCCATTGAGCCTGATTGGATCACAGATCAGTATGATGTCCTAGGCTTCAGGGTCTAATATATAATTCACGGAAGTTCCTCCGACTACTATCCGGCTATTCTTCCCTCAGAGTTAGAGATTGGGCAACTTTTGTCTTGATTCTATGATACCTATACCCTTCACTGTTGCTCATTTATTGAGGCTGTCCCTCTATCTGGCGCCCTTGATACGGCCTCGAGGCGTCTCCAAGCCTTACTTTTATCTTACCCCTCTTCTGTGCATGCATGATGCATGCACAGCCTCGACACGACGCAGTGAGCATTATTCATGGTCCAAACACTGAGAAGCGGTCGAAAGTACAGGTAAGCTTAGTAAGTCCCATTGCGCTGGAAATGGAGCAGAGAGATAAGATTGACATTCGGGGCCATGCTGCTGGCAAGGATGTTAGACTAGCAATTCCAGTATGATAAAGGTCATTGGACAACGATTCAGCTGATCGCAGGCGCAGAAAGATCTCGCGGATGCTGAAACCCGGAAGCATTACTCATCAGAACCTAGAGTTGAGGCGTGAATAGTTGAACTTCACGACTCTACAAATAGATGCGTCGATATTCGCTTCCTTCTGGTAACCAGTCTATATTGTACCTTCTCCTTTTCTCACACTGCCATATTTGACTGCAACGTGATTCGCCAAATAGAACTCCGAGAGAACAACATCTGCGTCGGTTTTGAACTGCCTTCAGTGAAAGCACGTCTTGATCAACAGTTACACCTTCAGGGTCTCCACCATGGACAGAAACCCTCAGCCTGGACTGGAAGTCACGTCGCATGACGGTCCAGAGATTGTTCTTCAGCCTGACGGGAACAAATACTACACTGGCTCGAGTGAATTGAACGAATTTGCGTTGAGCCAGCCGGATAAACCGATCCACTCAGTCTCCAAAACCAGCCGGAACAAAGCTTTCTGGGCGCTTGCTGTGATCGCTATTGTATGTCTGGCTGTAGCACTAGGTGCAGGACTTGGTGCAGGTCTATCAACCAAACGCAAATCCAGCACATCGAGGTAAGCCGATCTTCGATGAAATATCGTGACATGTAATCTGACTTCATTGTGCTGAGACTCCCAATATGCGTAGTAGTCCTATCATTACAGTCACACAATCCGGCAACATTTTCACAGCGACCCAAGCACCGGCGATTACATCCACCGCGCCCTCAACCTCAACCACAACGTCACCAGTCTGCCCCGCCGCCAATGGATCCAGTTACATCGCGACCAACAAACCCTCCTCCAGTCTTGGTCCAGAATACGTGATACCCGACACATCCCTGACGTATCAGATCCTGTGCAACACCAACTTTCGAACAAACAACATCACTGCGGCCGTAGACATGCAGATCATAAACAATGTAACCTCGCTCAAAGAATGCTTGGACGCTTGTGCTTTGTACAGCTTCCAAACTCCACCCAACAACTTCCCCGCTCTTGGCTGCTCCGGTGCCGTGTGGAACCACAACACTCTTGTGCCTGACTGTTGGCTAAAGAGGAACATTATCCTGTCGGAGAGTGATGAAGAATCTGGCATCGAGGCGGCGGTCTTACTCTCTGGTTGAACTTTGCGCTTCAGCGTTTTGATGTCATGAGAGCAAGAACGAGCTTGACGGATCACGGCCGAGCAGATGCGGGGTTGAATTTGGAGGCAGATTTGTGTCTTTTGGATTGAATCAATGTGAGTGCATCAGTAAGCTGTAGTCTACAGATCGTTCTGGTAAGAATATCGCATCCCGATAGATCAAATTCTTGTATCCGCCATTTGCTCACAGTCTACAATCCTTGGCCAGAACGCAGACTTTCCACTCTCGGCCTCAAGGGCATCTGTACCTAGTCATAACCCGTGTTCTACTTCCCAAAGTCCCACTTATCAGGCTAGGTTTGGGGTTCCGAAGGTCCTGCACCGGCGGTACTCCATGTCACGGTACAACAGAGATATATTCACAAGAACTCCAAATATTCGTGGGACTATACTTGAACATTCAGTATCTATCGACTCCCATCTCAATGCATAAACCGGCAGCGGACCGCACGCAAGATAACGCGAGAAGCTTCGAACATTCCACAAAAGAAGTCGCTGTCCTTGACAACCAGAAATCCATCAAATCTTGCAACACCGAGCTTCCGTCCAGACACCCCCGAAAAGACCATGGAACTGGCTGCGACGAAAACTGAGTGTTCTGTCCTTCACTTGATATCCATCATATGTACGCACCTTTATCCCGATCGCAGCTGCCTGGCGTAGCCTCGCCGAGAGCTATAAGATTGGCAGAGACCGCTGTGATCCTCCCTCCGGGGCTTGACCCCAACGCGGATCGCTCACCTGCCCTCTCAACATTTCCCCTTGCTCGTCCATGCCAAATTCCTCGTCTCCGTGCATCAACGGCCTTGGACAACAAGTTAAACAGATGGTGTGGCCTTTTCCTGCAGGTTTGGCAGGCATCTGCATGTGATACATCGACCGGCGGTCTACCATGCTCAAAAGGTATTCGAATTGATCATCATGGTAGGGATCATTATAAGCGTGGTAGTCGATGAAGCCGTCGCGGTCGGAGCTGATAAGGGCGTAAGCGTGCTAAGCCGCTTGTCAGTGAGCTTATCAATTGAGCGTTTGCTGCTTGTTGAACAGGCACTGACCACGAGCTCATGGAACATAGTCTCCCACATCTGCAAACGTGGGTCTGGTGCGTTGAAGATCTTGTCCGAGTTCAACCAGACTTTGCACCGCTGCTCTCCCTCGTTTTCGTCTGGCTGAAGGGGTTGGCAAAGCCCCGTGAAACCTTTCTCAGGGTTCTGGCCGTCGCATACTCTCTCCAATATCTCCCTTTCAGTCGCCCACATGACTATGACATTTCCTTTCAGACGGCCGTCGAAGAAGGCGATGTCCAAATCAGCGAGCGCTTTGATCATGAGACTAGGGTCCCATTTCGGGTGGCGTGCTGCCGCGTCAAGCCTATTGAGGGCCTCTTTTTGAGCTGTATGCAGATGCTCTAGTGGTGTTAGAAAATCGACCAAGAGTTGTGTTGCTTGGGCTTTGGTGAGCTGTGCACGAGCTACGGATCGGAACTCTTGGTAGTCGTTCAAGTCGCCGTGTGGGTGGTCATATTGAGCGCCTATATCCCATGAGACTGGCTCTTTGGTCTGTTCTCTGAGGCGCTGACGAGCGCTGTCATTGAGATAGCGCGCCGCAGTGTCCAAAACTGCGCGGGACATGGTCAGGTAGTTGAGCAGTAGAAATATCTGGGAATATGGAAGCAGAATGGAAATTGTCTGAAGGATTGCGCGAGCTGAGGCTTTATTTGTACATTTGAAGCAACAAAGAAAACAATACAGAGATTTCTAGGGCCGGTTGAATGCATGGAGCGAAAGAGCCAGTCAAACAAGAGCGTTGGCAAAGTCGCCATCAAAAAGTGTAGCAAGATCAGACAATCATGGTTGAGCCACGAAAGAAAAGTTTCTAAGACAATATAACAGTTGCTCTAAGGCACTACTACACGCACAAGAATACTGGCATGAGGGCTGTGATTCGAAATCTCCCCTTGTTGTTTTCGATCAAGATGGACATGAAATCGAGACGGTCGGAAGTTTGCACTTCACAGGGTGACCAAAGCTCGAGAGAGGCAAAGAAGATTCCAGTCGGTGGGATGAAAAGAGAATGGGCGCTGCATGATAGAGCAAGGTGTCCGGAGCGGCGAAACGATTATTTGGATGGGACATGGAGAGGGTAGAGACGGAACAGTCTTTCGAAAGGCGGAGCCTGGAAATAGGAAACCTTGGAGAAACAGCGGAGTGAAGGAGTTGCCAACGGACAAACATTGAGAGGAAAATTTACAGAAGTAACGTGCGGACCTCTCTATGACGAATCACCAGTCTATCCTGTAAGCCATTTCCTTGGCGGGCAAGATAGGAATAATGATCGAAGAGTTGAAAGCAATCGAAATCATTGCAAAACGCCATTGAAAGATTTGCTTGCCCAGCAACGCGAGCACAAAGCAGCGGAATAAGAGAGGCGGAAAGAGTTAACGATGGAGTTGCGTGCTTTGTATGATCGAGAGCCAAGGGTTCACCACAGCAAGGGAGCGAGGTTCAATAAGAGCGCTAGAGGAAAGAGCGACGGAGTGTGTGATCCCATATCACGTGACGATACGTGGGCCCCAGTCTCAGGTTGAGAGAAACACACAAGAGACTTTGAGACAGCAGAGAGGGAGATCGCCAGTATGCGCGATGTATGGGGGCGCGCAAAAGATCATGCCGCAGAAGGAGGCTGCAGTCGCAAACACGGACTCGTGCCCTGGAGAGAGAAGATGGTCGCGGCTGCTAAACTTGGTGGGTTGGAGATACGGGAGCAGAAGTGCCAGGAAAGGTTGATGAAGAAGCAGGAGGACATGGAACGCCTGGAGATGGATCAAACAAAGGAGAGAGTAAGTTTCGCTATAGCTGTTGTACGTGATCGTCATCTCCTCCTCGACCTTTTTGACAACCTCTGCTTCCTTAGCTCTCTACTGCGCACCCTCCCTCCCGAACAGCAAATTCCCATCACGGTTGTCGAGATGGATGAGTGTCATTTGGTGCAGAATACTTGAAGTCGGCGGGAGTTCATGCCATATCATAGAATGCAACGGCTTTCAGTGAGTAGGTGGGTTTCTCAGACCCTTTGAAAGGAATATAGTGTAGAAATATGTAGACAACTGGATTCACGAGCGCAGGGATAGATACTAACAACGATCAAAGACTCAAATTCGAGGAGATCATGGCTCAGTCGCATTGTTCTCAAGCCTGCAAGGTCAAGAAGCCCTGACTTCGACGGCGACCTTTTCTCAATCTTCATTTTTCGTGAGCTCATGGAGGTCTGAAGAGATGGGCTTCAAGCCTGAGACGTTCGCGACAATGAAAAAGACCAGTGTCTGTTGTGCGAATGAGTTCCCTTCAATGCAGCGATGCAATAAAGCGTAATACACACTTTCAATCCAAAACGTCCAAACCCTACCGTAATCTCTGAAAACGCTTACAGATCGAAACGCACTACCATCAATCAACAAAAAGCGGTCGCATTTCCGGCGAAGGTAATGAAAGGGGAGCCGATACACTGGAATGTGAAAGGGACGCGCGCAGAAAAATGGTGATCTTTGCCTTTGTTCTCTCTGCTTGCAGCCGAAGGACAAAGCGTTTAGAATCTGCCAGAACGAGACCTCACCATAAAATCAGCATGGAACGCTTCAGTTCCGATTATCAAAGTCGCACTCTTGCAAGACCAAACATTGCCGCTTTTCGCCGTTGGGGTTGCACCATCTGCCTCGATGCCTGGCGAGACGCGTGCCATGAAGAGGGCGCGAGAGGCGCAGGGGGGTGGCCCGACCGCAGCGACGACGACGACTACCGCGCCGCGGACTCCACGGAGGAAAGCAACAGGGATGAAAGGCGGGAAAGGGGCGAAGAGCAAGGGCGAAGTAAAAAACAAAAAGGTTGTGGGTAGGGTGCAAAAAAGTACTAAGACTAAGAAAGGTGGGACTAAAGCGGTCCGCAAAACCAAGCAGAAAGCCAAGGGCAAAAAAGTGGCTGATGAGGATGAGAAAGAGGAACCAGAACCAGAGCCAGAGCCAGAGCCAGAGCCAGAGCCAGAGCCAGAGCCAGAGCCAGAGCCAGAGCCAGAGCCAGAACCGGAGCCAGAGCCGGAGCCGGAGCCAGTCAGCACAGGGAAGGGCAAGGGAAAGGGTGAAGCCAAAGGGAGCAAGGGTGTAGATAAGGTGCGAAAAAGCACCAAGCGCAAGGAACGCGGAATACAAGCCGTCCGGAAAGCGAAACAGAAGGCCAAAGGCAAAAGAATGACCGACGGGGCTGAGCTGGAGGATCAGAAGCCAGTGGATGAGGGGGCAGGAAAAGGCAAGGAAGTAGCAGCGGTCAATGCCGACAAGGCCGAGGAGAAGCAGGTACAAGCGGCCGGCCAAGGGAAAGGAAAAGAGAAAGCCATAGCAGCGGACGAGGGAAAGGGTGAACAAACCCTGCAACGGTTCACCCGCGCAGACCTCCAAGAAGCAGGGGCCCTGGAGTCCGACTCTGTCAAACTGCCGACTCTGACCAACGCCATCCATCCCATCTGGGCGCCCGAAAAGTTCCGCTTCGCCGGCGGCACCGACGCGACCGCACGGGCCGAAGCCTACGCCGCCATTTCTCCCGCTCTGCGACTCGCGTCGCTGTGGATCGAGCGGGCGCGGTACGGGGACTTTTGGGCCACCATGTGGGACGGCAGGCTGATGCGGATCTCTCGGCCGACGGGAGGTGAGGCCGAGGGCCTTGCGGAGGATGATCCGGATGAGGGTTTGACATCGAAGGGGTTTCGGGATCTCGCAAGTCTGGAGGGGTTTCGGTGCGAATGGCGGTTCGGGCCTCAAGCCTTGGGGACGTGGGCGAAGACGGAGGAGGGGATCGGTGGCGTTTCGGGATGCGTGACCACCCTCCACGACGACTTTGAGTGGCTGGCCCGCTCTCCGCAACCCGGTTCGACCGTATCCGAACGTCTGAGGAGTTTTTTTTTCCTGGCAGTTAACCTGGTTCGCGAGCTGGTCCAGCAGGTCTGTCGGTTCAAACACAGAGATCAGTATGGCGAAAATGTTGGCCCACTGGCTAGGTCTTCGGTGTTGTATCAGCCTCCCGAGGGTGTTGGATTTCCGATGGACGTGGCATGGGAGAATTTCATGTTCAAAGGGCCGATTCATCAAATCAACTCGCCTATGGGTCCGATGGCTCCTGATGGCCTAGCTGTCCGTCATTTCAGATCACAGACCGACCCTACGAGGGTCTACATGCCCGTGCGAGTGGACTGGATCAGCGAACAGTTTTCAATGGGCTTTTGGTCAGCCGATGATGTCGATGAAGACGACAGATTGCCCGGGCTGCCCAATGGGTCGAATGTTTATGCAAAGGAGTTGGTCATTGATTAGGCGCACAAGTCTCAGGAGGAAAATGATGTAGGAGACATGGACTGACGTTGTACTGAAATCGGCGTTCTGTGCTTCATTGCTCTCGAACTCATATGTATTTCGAGTCATCTCACTTCGAACATCGTCATGGTGACACATCATTTGCCACTCCATATTGTTAGCTTTCTATACCAGCCCTTGTCCAGCTTTCCGTAGAACTCCAACCATGATCAATTGCACATTTAGCCCAGCAAGCTTTTTCGAACAGCGCGCTGGCCACTCGCGGAAAAACACTTAGCAAGTCGTACACTAGGAAAGCATCGTTGCGTAAACATGGCCGGATCTCGCGACAACACACATTTTGTGATTGACACGTTCATCGCGGTTTGTTTTGCACAACACCCAGTATCTTCATTGTATACTTATCACCTGTTCCTTCGATGGAACCAAACATCAAATGCAACCACTCACTCACAGGATGCACTATCCAACAGCACCAGACAAGTGACCATCAGTCCACCATCCGATTTACAGATTACCGCCCATCATGGACTTACCAGATAACACGTCGACAACATCCTCTTCGTCTTCGTCACGCAGCACAGTGTCCGATGTGGCAGAGTCGTTAAGCTCGGTGGCTTTACTCCATCCAAATAATGAGCAAAAGACCATGACAGGGTTTCCACCGGAAATCATCCTTCAAATTTACCGGCATCTCAACAGCGCTTCCGACATCACAGCACTAAACAGTACATCAAGGAGGTATAACTCGATCTGGCGGATAAATGCGGCGTCAATCTCCGCTGCAGTCCTCTCTCGAAGCATCGACTGCTACAACAGCGCGTTCGAGCTGTTCGAGATTGAGGAGCGTGTAAAACAGATCTACTGCATCATACTCCCTCAGTCCGCAGTTCTGAAGCGTCTGCGCCTAGCACAGAAACAAGCGCAAGACGTCGTCCGGCAAGGTCGCCGCAATGATCGCTGCGATCACACCTCGAGTGATATTCTCTATCGTGGAGTCCTCTACCGCAACGAGGAGCTGCTCTCTGCGGCCAGGTGTGCGTCCTATCTGCTTAGGCTGATTGAGGATCGAGTGGTGTATACTGGCGGAACATCACTGGATGAGTTGGACCGAGAGATCACTCCATCCAGTCACCATATCATCGTTGCATTCCACGAATTGATGATCCTCATACGTTTGAGGCTCCTCGAAGCGATGCAGGCTCGCTTGAAGAACATGCGCAAAGAGAAGATCCGAAAGATGTTGTATGTCGCCACGTACTTGGTCCGCGACTGTCCCGACAAGAAGAAGATCCGACTGGGTATCTCACGGGAGAAAATCCGTCGGAGTTCGATGGTTGATGACATGGATTTGGCCTTTAGACCTAGGTGCTATGTGATCGTTCATGCCAGGCGGGCTTTCTTCGCAATTGCGGATGCCGTCGGAGAAGCCCGCATCCCCAACTACCTGCTCGACAACCGATCGGGCTGTCATGGAGACTGTGAAGATATTGGGAAAATCGAGGGGATGTAATTGTTTTGCTGGAAAGGAGGACAGCGATAACGGGGTTTTCTGAACAGTCAAGAAGCTCGCAGCAAACAACAGAGTCCCGGATTTTCACTGTCATTGCACTGTTAGCATTTTGCTCTATTGTCCAGATTTTGAGGGTGTGGTGATTCGGAACCTGTATGGAATGATGCTTTCTCAAATGATATGATTCAAGCAAAGCTCTTTTGAAAGACGATCAACTACTCCGTCAGAGGGATCGTACATCCTTCGGAATAGATGCTGATATGTACGAGGGAAGGTGCACCTCCGAGATTGTACTTGGAATAAAGTAGGCTAGGCTCAAAATGACTTATCAGATAAGATTGGCTATCGTTTTGCCTCTATTGGCAACCTGGGCGTCATACAGAGCGATCTATGGTCACTCGACTTACCCGGCAATTAGAGAGTAACATTGCGGAGCGACGTCATCCTTTCCTGTACCTTCTTCTGAGTCTCAGGACATGTTGCGGGAGTCAAAGGTCTGTTACGGTCTTTCAAATCTAACCCGATTTTTTTTTGGCACTCAAACCTCTTCCTGAACTGGCAGTACTGAGTCCGAAGCATCGAGGCCGTCCGAAGAGCTTTTAGCGATGGCTCAGCACTCCTAGTCACGCCAGAACTAATTATCACTGGGCATACTTCCCTCGATGAGTTTCCCGCCAAGAACACCACCGTACACAGGTTAGTACGTAGAGTCCAGACTCCCGGCTGTCGAACCAGCAACAGAGCCTTGCGAGCATTCTGGGAGTGTTCAGTCTACAGACACCTCTCAAAGCTCCGGCCAAGACGGTCCGGCAATGCAGACGCCGACATTTCGTCGAGCTGGGACGTCCTGCACGATCTGGTAAGACATCAAGGATGTCAAGGTAGTGTCGTAGACACCAGCGTTGCACGCATGCCAATGGTCACCAGACTCGAGTCGCTAAAACGAAATGTTGCCATCCATGAGACCGTGCGTAAACCCAATTCTCCCGCCACGTCCCTCTATCCGAAGAACGAGAAACTTTTTGACAGAACCAGACTCCTATCACTCCCACTCCATTCTTTTCTCAACACCCCGAATCCTGGCCATGGAGTGACGACACTGACCTTGGCATCCCCTAGACCACTCACATGGGCGTACAACAAGATCGGACAAGCACCGAGCGTAATGACGCATCAAGGACCGCCAACCCCCTCTACCCCCTCTCTCCACCGCATGAACAGAAGCAAACTGGCAACCTTACAGTCAGACACCGCTGTACCTACCGTACTCCACCATAAAACCAAAACCCTCCCACTCCTACCTTACCCCTAGAAACGATACCTGCTCACAAATCCTCGCATCCATCTCCCTTCACATCCACAACCTCCCCCCACCGAAAAGTAAAAATACAGCCTCGATTGCCTCAGTCGCTCAGACGTGCCAAGATCGCCAAGCCCCTTCGGGTTAGCGGCCCTCAGCCAGGCCCCTTCGGGTTAGTTCGCAGCCTTCGGGTGGCAACCTAGAGGTTCGGTAGTAAGGTAAGCAAAGAAGCTAACTCAAAGAGGCTTAAAGTAGCCAGCGAAGAAGAAGCTCAGCAGCCCCGAGTCCCGACATTCAAGACCCTAGTGCTTACCTTCAAACCCACTCAAACCCTACTTTACCCTACCCTACCCTACCCTACTTTACCCTACCCTACCCAACCCAACCCTTCCCCGCTCGCGACAATACCTGCCCACGGACACTACACACACCCATCACACCTCCGCACAGACCCTACGCAGTCGTCGCAAAGCCACTCAGCGCACACGTCCCAATCGTGAATGGATGGCACACGTTAGCCGCATGGTTCGACGCTTTGACTTCGATGCGTGCGTGCGTGCGTGCGCCTTTGGGGAATCGGGAGGGGTTGTTTTAGATTACGTACCTAGCACCACCACCATCACATCACACCACAGCTTGGGCTGGACTGGGCTGGACTGGACTGGGCTGGGCGGGGCTGGACTGGGCTGAAGACGATAAAGATTTTCGATTCGGAATGGGGTGATATGGAAATTAAGCGGGGTGTAGAGATGTGTTGATATTTCCTTCTACCTACGAACATGCTCAAATGGCTCGTTTCCTGTTTCCATACCTTAGACGGGTGAGAAGATCTAGATTCTGGATGCGACGGCTCGGCACGGGTGACTGATTGCTATCCAATTCCCCCCCTGCCAAGCCGAGTTTGTCCAGCCCATGGGGCGACGGCTGCTACAAAGGTACATAGAAGCGACGGCGGCGAAGTGGAAAAAGGTTAGCATGGACTTGGACGCAAATCTGAGCTGGATGTATACGGCCACTGCATAAGTCATTTGATGAAACTGACAACGTAGTACCGAATTAATTGGCATATAAAAAACCACATCATTATAAGGCCCCTTTGCATATAAAATACCGTTCAAAATGACGGTTTTCAGACGTAGGCCATAATTAGACTGTAAGATAGGGGTCCTAATAGCCTGCTGAGTAATGGTACTTTATTGTACTAGGCCCCCAGGGTAAGATCAGAAGTACCCTCACAGTAGCAAGGCAAGTAGAATAATGAGTGGTCGGAGTAGGTACAGGCCATTTGCGGTACACTACGCCCCCAAATCAGGTACCATCCCCCGTACAGAGGTATTTTCCCGTCTAAAAAGAGCGTCTCTCCGAGCTCTCTGATTGGCGACAGCGAGCTTAGTAAGACCATTGACTAGCGCCTTAGGCCATACGATACCACAGTGTTATAAGCCCCCTTTATGTTAAGGAATCATTATGGTTTGACTCATATATGTGTGTGGTGTAAAAGATGTTGATTATCTATGTGGTCTGCAGGCAGATATGTGCGGTGCCAAGCCTACGCTAGTGGCCCTATGAGTATCCCTGAGGCATCTCATGACCCTTTACATATAAAATACGGTTCCAAACGATGATCAGATGGACGCTTCGGCTATATGGTAGTATCTTATATGCCAATTAATTCGGTATATGTATACGGCCACCGCATAAGTCATTTGATGAAAATGAGAACGTAGTATATGTTTGGCTTAGGCCATGTCATCGAGATGGCTCGCTCTATATGAGGGTTTATATATGAAATATAGACGGTGAAACGAATGTGTTGAAGTGAAAATCCTGTCGACTCCGCGTCGAAGCTCGCGGCGCGGTGAATCATCAGCAGGAACCGCTCCCTCCGAGGAGACTATGGAGGGTGAAATTAGGACGGTGCTCTGACGAGAGGGATTGTGAAGGCGGACTTACGCAGAGCCCGAACTGGTCATGGAATCCCCGTTCAGCAGGGTACCCAGATGCTCATTGTAGGCGTAGTGTGTGATCATGGAGTTCGAGGCGTTCTTCATGAAGGTGCCTTCGAGCCATTGAATGAATTGACACTGGAAGTCACGAATGTCAGCTTCATTGGACCGAACCATAGATGTCGGGGACTCTGGTGGGTGCAAGGGGCAAAACTGACATCTTCGGTAGCTGTGGAGGCATCATAACCGCTTCCCATCTCGGTGATCCACACTTCTGGAATACCGTTGTCTTCCGCCAGCTGGATCATAGCCCCAGCCTGCTCATTCAACATCGCGCCGTTCTCATCTACTGTCAGAGAGCTGCTGCCGTACCAGTGCATGCTTATAGCTTGGAACGTGTATTTTGGGCTGTTCGATGCCGCCAACGAGAGGAACTGGGACATCCACTCCTGCCCTGCGGGATTGGCGACGCCGTCAATCGTGCCTAGTGACACAACAGAATTGGAGACACCTGGTGTGGAAATCTTGGCATCCTTAGAGGACTGATATTGGGCGATGTAGTTCTAGGGCGAGGTGTTAGCTCGAGGAACCTTTCTCCAAAGTTGGTGCGTCTGAGACTCACCCAACCTGAGATTGCTGTGCTGGGCGTCATCCAAGACTGTCCGGGCCTGGGTAGATATTAGGTGGAAAGCTTCACTGCTTTATACGACTGCTAGCTTACATGTCCGGCTCATTGAACCCGATCAGATTTATGCCAGAAGGCCATGAGGGTGCAGCATTGGTCCATGGGTTGAGATCTGTCCGGGAAATGCTCAATTAGCACTTGCACTGATATTGGTCGAGATTTGATGGTATGGCGACTCACGGTTGCTATCCTGGAAGGTCCATAGTTGAGGGTAGAATGTGCCTAGATCGAGATTGTCGGAAGAGCTGAGCGGGATGGGCGACCAATCCACCGAGAAACCGACTTGGCCACTGAAGGCTGACAAATCGCTGGTACTATCGTAAAGGATACCGATGTTGGGGCTGCTTGAGTCGCTGGTAGTACCCGAGGATTGGGGTGTACTTGGGGTTGGAGAGGTACTGGTAGTAGTGGTAGTCGTCGAGGATGTGGGGGAAGCAGCGACTCCTCGGCTGTGGCGGTGATGCCATTGAGGATTCGCATGGGGCTTGGCCTGAACAAGAGTGCAAAGAACAGAGAAGAAAGAAAATAGAGATTGCGATGTGGACCACATGATGAATGAATGAAGGGTATCCGAAGATGCAAGGATCTGTAAAGAGGGTATGAAGGCTATTGGATCAACCAAATGGGAACTGGATCAACAGTGCTGCAGCGAGAGAAGGAAGAAGAAGGAGAGGAAAGCCAAGGGGGGGGGATGGAGACTTTATGGGAGGCAGCATGATGAGCTGAGTCCTGCAGCATTTGGAGGGATTGTGACATTTAGGGGAGAGAAATGGTGTGACAAGGGAGAGAAGGAGTAGAGTGCAGGGTATGTCAATAATAAGAATGTGTGTGTGTGTGTAATCAATCCTCTACAACTCTAAGATAGAGCTTATCTTGGTGAAACAATAAAGTAGCTTTAGTGGAAAACAACGCTGGGATAGCGGGGCTGCTCGGTGCAGGAACCCGGGACCGGGAACCATCGTTGACCTTATCGACTACCTACTTTATTTTACCTTGGCTACCTTACCTAGGTAGTCCATAAGGCAGAGGGGCATGCCTCATTGCATTCTTTTCCTTTTCCTCAACAAGCTTTGATCACATCCTCCTTCCTCATCAAGGAATCCCGAGCAATCCCAGCGCTTTGTTTCATGCAAATGCAATCACACGTGGTCAAAACAAAACACAGCGAAAAGGGATGGGATCAATAATGTCATGATCTTGTGATTCGTGCGATTTGGAGATTGCAGGATTCCTTCTGGACCACACCACTTTCGCTAGAGGCAAGTGGCCTGAACTCTCCGACGGGCGCTAGCCGGCCCGCTCAACGCGTCGCCAAGACTTTCCCACCTAATCCCAACACTCTTATTCGACATTTGACAAGACTTTATCTGTGCCTTGATTATCGCATGAAATCGAAGTTCTCTTTTCCCTCTATCAGTACTTGGGACAAACAATCTTCAATGTCTATGGGTTTCCACTAAGGTGCCTTGCTAAGGGTTAGTAACCCTTGAAGCACTCTGGTGGGTGACTTCCGTTGCCGGCTCCCGTGAGTAATGACTTCCGCCAAGCTTTGGGTTTTTCCTAAGCAGTCGGGTCGTGTTCTAGAGGGGAGTGGCTGTGGAACTCAGGCTGCAGACAACGACCCGAGGTTGGTGAAACGGTTCGCTGTCCCAAGCGTGGAATGATTGGTTGGGCATAGGCATACGGCTTCTGAGGAAGATCCTGCAGGCACGCGCTTCCTTGTCCCTAGTTGCATATGTACGACCAGCAAACATAAAACAACGACGCATTGCATACACACAGTTGCAAATCATTTGATGCAAAGAAAATCCTGCGGAGCTTCGGTCAAAGATAGTGCACGAAGTGTGGAGCGGGATCGCTTTATTACCGTCTATTTTCTAGAGGAGCAAGGAGGTGCCTCCTTCCGTGAGACTCCTCGTACACCCGTTGCTTCTCTTTAGGCATATATTTTCGAGCCCGAAACCACCCCCACGACAGTCTTAGACTTTGAGTGGGTGACCTACAATCAGTACCTTTGATTGCTTCCAAGGCGCCAATTGGGCACTGGTTGTATCGTATAATTAAGTTTGTTGAGCGAGGATCACGGTTTGGAGGGTCAGGATCCGGAAAATACCTAGTTACTCCAGATGCTGGAGTTGGAGGGGGGGGGAAGTAATGTATGCGGGGCCGTCCCCTACATATCAAGGAGGAATTGACATAAGGATGCCATGTATGGAGCGGCTAGAGGAACTTTCAAGGTGATAGTGAAGGCCATAAGTAGTCTTGCTTCCTCGGGCTGGCTGCAAGACAGGTAGCTTGACATTGTGGGTCAAGCGTAAATATTCTAACAGATAACAGAAGCTCTCAAACTCAATTGGACTGTCGATCTGTAAGTAGAGATTGATGGCCTTCTATAACGTTTTCTCCTTGTTCAGGCGAGCCAGAAATGCATTGAAGTACGGCTTGCGTGGCCCATGATTACCTCCATCAGAGCGAGCCCGGCGCCGATACATCCGCGATCTACGCTCGTCACCACGACGTGGTGAAGCGCTAAGCCACCTTGAGGGTTTTCACCCCGTTTCCTTTGAACCCTGGGTAAACAAATGCCCGGAAATATAATAGTTTCGAAGTCGCTTAATAAACGCTTGTGCTTGCTGTTGATGAGAGCAATGATACGCACATCCCACCCTCCCCATTGTTCGAAACGATACTTGCATTGAGAACGGTTGGTTTAGGTACTACCTTTCGCCTCTTACGTGTGTAATGGGTAGACTGGAGACTTGTATATGGATATTGTCGCCAGTGTTTACACGCTTAGTCCTAGCTAGGGTATGCCTGGCTTTCCGGCTCTGGCTCTAAACAATGAGATTGGTACACGCTCACGATCGTTGTTGACACGCATTTCATGTTGATTATATAAAGGGCCATCTGTCGCTTCTTCCTCCCTTTTATCCAACAGCCACACTGGGTCTCCCTCAGTCATTAGATGGCCTCCGCTTCAACCACTCTGTGCCGGAGGGTCACGAGCATCTGTCACGCCGCCAACTGACTCCGCTTAACAGATTGCTTGTCTCCGTGCCTACTACCGTGCCCTGGCTCTGGTGACCTTACGACAAGTAAAGGTCCCTTTCAAATCCTTCGCACGCTTGGATGTGCTCGAATACTTGACAGATGAGGAAAGCCGCTATGCTGCTGACCCCGACGCGGAAGTGGCAAGGTAGGAACGAGCTTGGCATCAACTTCCAAACCGGATTTAACAACGGCTTCAAATCTCCTTGTTCGCGCCAGTCACATTTTCAGTCGGCGAGACGCCTCTAGTTATGCTCAACTGGGAAGTGATATTGCTGAGTCTGCGCTGCATCGAGGAAAGCTTGTTGCGAACCCCGTTTTGCAGCGGTTTCCATTGCGGGGAGCCAAAGCCATTCTATCATTTCACTTTCTTCGGTGGGTACCAGGAAGAAGCGAATTCGGCAAGGGTCCAAAGCTGGGAGAGCTGGTACGTGATATTCATAATCATCGTGACATCCTCGAAACGTCGCTAGTTTCTTAAATTCCCGCCATGCTTGACTTCAGGTTGCTGTATGCGGGAGACGATTCCATAGAATTGCTGTAGTTATCTTGCGGGGAATGGAACTTGTGCTTGCGGGAAAGGGATGAAGTAGTTCAGTCTTTATGTAACCAACACATGAAAGCTTCCGTATACGACGTGAAGAAAACAGATTTGAGACCGGTGTAATGTTGCAAAGAAATAGACGATGTTACAGTGAATGCGTGTTTTGCCAAGAGGTTTTCTAAGAATCCTCGCCCTCACCCTTAACTCCACATCTTTCCAACCTCACTGCAGTGTCTCTCAGACTTCCTAGACCTAGTCAATCGCACGACTCCATTCGCGATCTCATCATCGAGACTCCACCGTTCGTTGTTATCCTTCCACCAAGTATGTGCCCATAGACCGCACATTCGATACTTCAGTTTGTGCTCTGGTCGGCAGACCTCTGGCGGCAGGCCATTCTTGAATGACTGGAGAAAGGTCCGAGAGTCTCTAGCCTACCTCGAATAGGAGTTTATTGATGATAAGGTAGATTAATTTTATCTATACTAATCTCTAACTTATAGTAGATTTCCAGTAAGTAAATAATATTAAAGTCTTCTTTTAAGAATCTCTTTCTTTTATATTATTTCTTTTAATATCTCTAATTAATATCTATAAGATTTTATTAAAATTATATTAGAATAAGTTTATAATCTTAACTTTAAAAAATTTATTAATAATTTAAATATTAAATTAGATAATATTCTTATTAAAAATATAAAGAATTATCTTAGATATATAGAGATAAGCTATTTAATATAGATTAAGATTATTATAAATAGTATTAAATAATTAAGTAATAAAGTTATTGTTACGGATTTAGTGTGCTTTAGAGGGTTTTTATCGTTTAGGTAGGGGTCCACGCTCTTTTGGCGCTACGGTTAACGATAAGGCACGCTTTCCCGTAACAATGGTAGTAACACCGGTTCGATTCCGGGTGTGACCCGGACAGTCTGAATAGGTTTACTTAGCTGCACTTAGATTTGATGGAGGCTTATAACTTCCGTGCCTTTCTTAGCTGCGCACCAGGCCGCAAGTAGCTTACGGGGTTATACCTGGGGGATTCCTAAATACGACATGCGTGTAGGCCAGCGCATAGGGACATACGCCATTTTTCGAAGTGTGCAATTATTACGGATTTAGTGTGCTTTAGAGGGTTCTTACCGTTTAGATAAGGGTCCACGCTCTTTTGACGCTACGGTTAGCGATAAGGCACGCTTTCCCGTAATAGTTATCTAATAATTAATTAATTAATTAATTAATAGCTTTTTATTCTTCGAAGCTTATTAAGATACTATTACTTATATTTTAAAGATCTTTAAATAAAGATCTTTATATTAATTTAATCTTAATTAATTAGATTAGAATTTCGAAGTCTTATATTTTCTATAAGTTTAAGAATTCAAATATTATTCTAAAGATAAAATATCTTTAATATAATTTAAATGATATAATTTAATTTAATAAAAATTATTATAGAAGTAGAAATCTTTTAAATATATATAATCGATAATCTCGATATTATAGCGATTTTATATAAAGATTTTATTTTTAAAAATAAGTTTAATTATAATTAATAACTAAGTTAAATTTATTAAAATCGATATAGATATAATATTAATATAGATATATTAAATAAGATAACTAGATATTAAATAACTATATAGATAGAAGATATTAGATAGTAATAGATATCTCTATTAAGATACGCTAGGCCCTAATAGGCCATAGGGCTAAATAGTATATTAAGAGAGATATAGAATACGCTTATAATACTACTTCTTCTTCTTTATAGAATTATATCTTTATAATTAATAAATAAAAGAGTAATAGAAATAATATATATATACGCTCGCTTAAAAATTAATAAAATAATAAAGAACTTTTAATATTTAAAATCTTTAATATCTCGATATTTCTTAGCGATAATATAAATAGCGAGAGCTTATATCTTAATTTCTAAATTAGTATTATCGTTA